GAAGTCCGAAATAGGAATTCCGATTTGGGATATCCCAAGTTTAACTTGGGACATGGCGACGTTTGGGCTACAACATTACTATATAATAAATAATGATTTAATCGTCCAGATTAAATTTAAGATTTTGTTAATAATTACACTATAAAATTCAATTTATAAATATTTTAATTTGCAAAATTCCTTTTTTGAAATATTTATGTTTCGAAAACCTTCTTAAATTATCTTAAAGCGGATTGGAATAAAAAACGCATATTATCAATTAGTATATTTATAAATCTATTTACTAATCAGTAAATGTAATGTATAGATGTATGCAAATGACGGAACATATACAAATATAAAACATAAATTGTATAGTAAATGTTGATTGCACAAAAAAAAATAGTTCTGAATTAATCATAAATTATTTTAAATTCTCATCAAAAAGGAAGCAGTAAATTTTCTAAATACATATATACAGAATTTATTTAATTGAGTTGAGGTGATACGGATTAATTCCAATCTTATAGTGCCAGCTTAAAAAACGAATAAAAACATAAGTCGCGATTTCTCATTCAAAAAGTTGATTTTATAATGGAATCGCAGAAACAATTATATTAAATGCAATGCTTCAAATATTAAAAAATCGGTATAGAATGAAATCAACCAATCCATCCAATAAACATAACATGCTAAGTTTCGTTATTACTAGCATTATATTAATGATATAATTTATAATACAAAATATTTTCTATTATTTGTATGAGGATTCTTGTAAGTTGGTTAATCAAAAATATCATTATATATTTTTTCGATGATTCGGTTGCTTGATTTAATGCAACTGAAGAATAAATTATACTGGATTTGATATTTTCTGGTAAATTTTTTACGTCATTAATATCCAATGTACTAATGTTCAAATTATTTAAAATTGTTTCAGAATTGTGATTCCTTGCATTCTCATTGGAATTTCTAAAAATTGTATTAGAAGAAATTGATTCAAGTCTTGAGGCAACGACTCGCATGTCAGGACGATCATTTGGATCATAATTCCAACATTCTAATTTATCAGATTATCATTAGTTTAACATATAAATTCATGCTAGTGTTATTAATATTATTTACCTTCATACAATTCAATATATTCAATTGGAGTCCCACAAATACGCTTTTCTCTTTTACCGCGTACTATATCTACTACTATTAAGGTTTCATCATAAATATTATCTTCATCGAATGGTGAACGTCCACTTGAAATTTGCCACATCAATACACCAACACTGTATACATCGGATTTTTTATCTAATTTTTATTTTGGATTGTTGAGACTTTTTGGATCTACATATGGTATTACGCCAAACATTTCTGTATCACTTGAGACGTCAGCACTTGAAGCGTAAACACTCGAATCGTCAGTGATTTTTCTTGACAAACCGAAGTCTGCCAACTTAATATTATTTTGATGTATAAGTATGTTGTTCGCATGCTACAGATATTTATATATTAAATATACATAAATTTTTAAAAAATAAAATTAATTATAACCAAAAAGTTAAAATTCTGAATTACCAAATCGCGATGAACAATATCAAATTCGTGTATATATGCTACGGCACTTGAGAGTTGTAACGATAAACGAAATTTATCGTTCCAATCAAGTTCATGATCATTTAGATAAGAACTTAACGTACCATTATCAGCATATTCCAAGACCAATAAATACGTTATTTGATACATTAAATCTGAAGAAAACAAAACGATAGAATTATTGTATAAATCAAATCATAAAAGCCTTTTAAATATACTTTCGGTCCCTACTTGTTTCCATTTTTGTGATGCCGTAAAGTTTTATGATATTATCGTGGAAATGGACAATCACTTGTAATTTTATCTGCAATATGATGTTTAAAACGAATAAAAGTTTAACAATAGATATTTATATATTACCTAAATACAAACAAATGAACTAATTTATACCTCATTTACAACATCTTTCATAGTTAGTTTATCAATTTTAAAGTTCTTTAAAGCAATGATATGATTATCATGTTCCAAACAAGCTCGATAGACCTTTCCGAAATTACCTTTTCCTATATTTTGAATGTCCTTGAAATCCGTGTATTCAAAATAATAAAAGTACTTTCCATTACAAGCATCATTTTTCCAAATTTGATACTTGTTCGATTGTGGAAGATTTGTAAAAAAATAAGAAATAATTTGCATTAACAAGCCCAACATTGATTTATGCTTTTTTTTTTGTTAGATTTTATTTGCAAATTTGAGTGCACGTTAAACCTATTTATGCTAGTTTCGTTATATGGATTACAAAGGTTTAATAATGCGTACTATTCATAAAGAAATTTCTCTTTACCTACCTTGTATAACGTGACGCAAATTTTTACATGTATAAATAAATATTATATCAGGATTAATTAATGATTAGGTAAGATAAACCCCCACATAGATCATTAGCAGACACACACACACACACACACACACCAGTTCTCCGTAAAAGAAAAATGAACCTTTGAAAGCAACTATAGTAACACGATTTAAAAATGGGCGATCGACAATTGAAAATCACATCAGTTAAACCATACCATACCATATTTTATTACGTAATAGCTTAGTTAATTATAGCCGATTTTCAATTTATTTATGTCGTTTCAAAGATACATTTGTAACTTTTTAAAATAAAATTTATAAAGTTAGATAATTTTAAAATGATCGACAAAAAAACTTATTGTATCTAATATATTATATATAAGAGGTTTGGGACTCTGAGAATTTTTATTAAAATTTTAATTTTATTACATTTTAATTTTTGATAATGTTAGATTAAAATGCAATAAATATTAAAATTTTAATAAAAAATGCTCAGGAGCCCCATATATCAGTTTTTATAGCTTTGTTTTTTATTTTATTTAATTGAGTAATGTTTGGATCATTTCTAACAAAGCTTGGATCATTATTTGATATTAATTTTAGTAATAATTATTATAAAAATAAAGGTTTATTAATATGTACTTATATTTATAAAAAATTACAATTATTAAAAAATTATTGATTTTAAACGTCGTCGCCCTTTTTTTTGGTATGTCGATCAAAAAAAATTCTACCAATAAAATCGCCAGAAAGTTCCATTATATAATTCATTTATGTACAATATAGAAAATAACTTAGTTATAAAAATTATAAAAATTATATTACCTAAATTTAAGGGTAAGTATTATTGATATCTCAATTTCTCATTAAAGTAAATATTCTAAATATAATAGGTATTGGATGGGATGCTTATTTTTCTTTATTACTAGCATTATAGTAATGAAATAATTTGTACAACCAAATACTTTCTATTAATTCTATAAGTCTTCTTGTAAGTTGATTAATCAAAAATATCATTAACTCATTAATAAATTCTGTCGATGATTCAGTTGCTTGATTTAATGCAATTGAAGTATTGATTTTAATTTCAATTACACTTGTTTTGAGTTTTCCTGGAAAATTTAATATGTCATTAATATCCAATTTGCTAATGTTTGAATCATTTAAAATTGAATTAGATCCTTTCGATAGGTAATCCCTCATATTTCCATTATTGGCATTCCTAATAATTGTTTTACGCATCATATCATCAGAATATATTGAGTCCAGTCTTGAAGCCACCATTCTCATATCAAAACGTTTATCTGAATCATATATCCAACATACTAATTTATCGGATTTAGTAAATGATTAAAATTAGCATAAACAAATTTATTAATAAATGTTAATGTTATCGATATATATTATTTTACCTTGATACAATTCGCTATATTCGGAAGGAGTTCCATCAATAAGATTTTCTCTTTTTCCGTTTATTATCTCCCATATTAATAACCTTTCATAATTGGCACATTCAGCAAATGGTGGAGTTCCACTTGAAATTTGCCACATCAATACCCCAACACTGTATACATCAGATTTTTTATCCAATTTGTAATTTGGATCGTTGAGATTTTGTGGATCTACATAAGGTATCACACCAAAATTTTTTGTATCACTTGAAAAGTCGGCGACACTCGAAGCGTCAGTGATTTTCCTTGACAAGCCGAAGTCTGCTAACTTTATGTTATTTTGATGTATAAGTATGTTGTTCGCATGCTATACAAATATTTATAAATAAATATAAATTTATTTAATAAAAGGAACGATAATTAGGGAAGAATACGATGAGGAGATAATCGAAAAATTCATTTACCAAATCGCGATGAACAATATCAAAGTCGTGTATATATGCTACGGCACTTGAAAGTTGAAATGCTAGGCGAAACTTTTCGTTCCAATCAAGTTCACGATTGCTTAGATAAGAACTTAACGTACCACTATCAGCATACTCCAAAACCAGCCAATATTTATGATAAATGAAATCTGAAAAAAAAATTATATAGATTTAAAATGGTAACTAAATCAAAAAAAAAAAAGATTAAATAAAATATTGACCCATACCGGCTTCTTTCTTTGTGATTCCGCAAAGTTTAATGATATTCTCGTGAAAGTGGACTACCATTTGTAATTTTATCTAAATCATGAGTTTCAATCTCATTAAATTCAACAAAGTAATTGCATTTTACCAAAATCAAACAAATGAACTACTTATACCTCATTCACGACTTCTTTGAGAGTTACTTTATCGATTTTAAAGGATTTTAAAGCGAAGATGTTATCTTCATGTTTCCAGCTAGTTCGATAGACTATTCCAAAACCACCATAACCTATGGTATGGAAATTACTAAACTCCGAGTGTTTAAAAAAGTTCAAATGTTTTCCATTACAAGCATCATCTAACCAGTTTTGATATTTGTTCGTTATTTCCAATTTTTCAAGAAAATAAAGAAAATAAGTAATTATTCGTATTAAAAAGTTCAACATTATTATTATTTTTATTATTTTTGTATTTTATTTATTTTATTTAATTTGCGAAAAAATTGCGACTTTTATATACTTGTGTCAATGATCACTTTAATAATAGATTCACTTTCTAGATATATTTTCAAACAGGTTTCGGTTACTAAGCATTTTATAAGCGAAAAAAATTTTTTCACGTGCTTTATTTACAAAGTATTACGTGACGCAACATGTTTAAATTTAATAAGTACTTAACAACAAATATCGTCATATATTAATGGTGCAAATATTTTGGTCTTCCATTTCTTTTTTTCACATTATTGAATGAAATTTGGAAGAAAAAACATTCCATATGTACTACTGAATAACCGATAAATAATTTCCTTGAATCAAAGACTAGATCTGGGTATTGGACGGACTAATCTAAGCACTTCCCCTCATGGTTTATATGCTGGTTCCCCGTAGTCGATGAAATAACAAAAGAACCTTTTAGAGCTAACAAAAAGATTTCATTTATGCAATATGAACATCACCTTTGATGAATTTCTGATTATGGAATTATGGATTCTTATTATAGTTACTAAATGAACTTAAAGTTTTAGAGGTTATTAAGGCTGTTAGCTTATTACAGTAATAAAGCAGGCAAAACGTTGTGTAACATCAATCAAAAAATATAAAATTGGATTTTAGCGACATATATTAATATTTGTAGAAATAAAATTTTATATAGATAAATTATAGTATCGATCGCTATATAAAATTTTTTATTGGCTAAGAATGTTTTGTGGCGCAACTATTTTTTGATCAATTACTCAAAATCAAATTAATCCTACATGTCCCTTATTCCTAACGTAATGCTTGTTTAGATTTTTCGATATATCTTGGTCGTAACACTTTGATCGACATTTGTGCAATTTAGTTTTTTGGTTTCGAACGATTCGGGCTGCAGCGATTGAGTTTTACCGCCATTGCTTTATCGTTATCTTTTCAAGAATTTTTAAATTTATATATTATCCAAACCTAAATCCTGTAAACCGAAAACAAATTTTTCTCTTACTACTTTTAGCTTAGAAATGTCGATCGACGAAACCGACGATTTTTCAAAAAAAATCTCATTTCTAAAAATTTGACTGCGCCTAATTTAGTCGCTGTGGCATTGACGATCCATTTCTGGCAGTTCTGTGGACGCCATGTCATTTTGGCCTTTTATAGACATAATTTATAATGGTTTTGCTTTTCCTTACATTAAACTCGATTAAATGAAATGCCCGTTGGAAGGAAATATTCTTTATATGTATAGACTTCGTTTTGTTATGTTCTTTCATAGAATAGAATTAGGAATATTCTCTTCTTTTTAGGCCTTTGTGATTATTATTTACTTTCAAACGTGAAATTTTTATTAATATTGAATCTGGTTTTGCTTAAAATAAGAATCTTTTAGTATCTTGTTAGAAATGATTTATATTTAATCTTCATCATTGTAAACATTTTCTAATGTACCATCATCTAATTCTTTTAATGAAAAGTTTTTCTTAACATCCGAAACCCGCTCTTAATTTTTTTAATAATAAGAAAATTTTGGAATAACTTTGCAGGTCTAACGAATTAATTCAATATTTTTTATATTCTATAGGTGAATATACCTTTATCATTACTGTCAGACATTTTTAAAACAAAACGTTTATTGACTTTTTTTTTAAGGTGGTATGCAATGCATTTTCGCCATGTGTCGATTATTTTAGAATTAATAAGGGATTGACATCAGGATCTAATTCTTGGTTCGACCGTGTATAGACATTCAACATCAGTTTCCTAAAATAGAAAATCAATTTAAAAAGTTGCAACTTTTTTAATTCACAAATTAGGACATAATGAGTAATATTTTCATTGAAAATCTAGAAATTTAATGAGACTAGTTCAGGATCGCCCAATCCCAAATGATATGATGTAAATTATTGACTGGATATTTGATAATTCCTTATGAATAGTATAATTTCATTTCCAATTAAATGTGTATTTTTTTGATTTTTTGATTTTTCTAAGGTTATGTGAAACAAATATAATTTTATTTTGAAAAATTTTAAAAAAATATCTTATAAAAATTTGACAAATGTAATTTAAGAATTGTGTGGCGGGCGTCGGTACCATTTTTTGTTTTTTATAAAAAGACAATTTTATTTAAAGTTTATTATATAAATATTAAAACTTTTAAATTCGATGACGAGGAAAATGCAGGGTATTTATTACACTATAAAAATTTGATAAAAATGAAGAGGAATTTGATGGATATGAGGTTAAATACGGCAGCGGCGAAAAAAAAAATTTTTGAAAAAAACAATATGGAGATAGCTGTGACTACGTATTATATTTGATTTAAAGATAATTTAGAAAGATTTCTTTTTAAAAGACCAAAGGCAAACTTTTTATAAGATTGAAGCATTTAAACCTAACTTTCTTCTCATCATATTCTACATCATCGATAATGCTACTATTTCTTTGTCATAGAAATTTACCAATCGACGGGAGCAACAATCAACTTATCCTTTGTAGTAATTATCCATCATCGTACTGTTAGTTCTTAGATGTATTTTACCAAGACATAGCGAGACAGCTGAACTATCATATGTCTGAATTGATAATTATAATAAATTACTTAGAATTATTTTCCTAAGTAAATTTGTTACACTACATTTTGAGATAATGATGCCCTCACACAGAACAAAATAACTCTTATAAAAATGAGTTCATTGCTTGTATATATTAAATAAATGAAATAGCTTTAAACCCAGCTGATCGTGATAAAATCCTTACGACACGATTCCATATCTGAAATTAACAAAGCAGAGTCCTGTGTAAAAATTCAATATATGCCAAGGTATACTAATAGTTCCAATATTTGCGTTACCAAATTATTTAACATATTATTTATCTTTTATTATTATTATTATTTTTTTTTTTGACAATTCACAGTATATTATTTGCAAAAGAATCTTTAAATTCATTACTAAATTAAACCACCAATCGTGAAGTATAAATTCACTAAATTCTATAACAATTACTTTCACCAACGAAAATCGTATTTTTAAAAATCTATGATCGAAAGAGTAAGAAAATAAATTCTGAACTTTGAAATATTGCATGATGAAATAAAACACATTTTTATAGACCAGGAACCTATTTAAAAAAAATTAAACGGAAGCTTAAAGATAATAATATTTGATAATTGCAGTTTTCGAAATTTTTAAAAAAAATCAACGCTATTGTTCGTCCAAAATCTCAGCAGGTTAAAAAAAAGTCTTGATTGAAAAAATTATTGACAAGATCACTTTGTCGACACGACAAATCATTTTTATCGTTCCGTTAAAGAAATTTTTAAACATTTTTAATATATTTTTAATATATATCACCACCTTATTTTTTTTATTATTACAAAACAAATTAGCTGCAACATTTAGTGTTCGGTAAAATAATCATGTCGGTAAAATGAATGTCTACGGATCAATTTCAATATTTATTGCCGGCTCGATCATAACATAATGTAACTAACATTATTTTTGGATTGGACATTCTGTTGTTCTAAATCTAAAAAGTTAGAAGACTTAATCATAATTATTTTCTATAAAAATATTTTTACTTGCTAGGCCTCATTTATATATGTTTTAAATTTATTAAAGAATTTCTTTAGGAAAACCATTCATGATAATGCGATTTAATTTGGGGAAATTGTCGGATTGGGAAATGGTATTCGGGAAGATGGTATAGAAGCAAATTAATTGTCATAGAAAATTAGGGAAAAGTTCACTATAAATTGGAAACTTTTATTGTATAATATATAAAAATGAATATAGGTAGTTTGATACTACACATCCAGAAATATCAAATATGATAATTACACCTTCTAAATTTATAAAAGGAAGCATGAATCGATATGATGGAACTATAATTAAAAAAAAATGAAACCTTAGATGAAGATAAACCGAAGGTTAATAATAACCGAAGAAATTTTGACTTCATAAAGTATCACAATTTTTATTATCTATAAATAGAGTATCAGTGATGAAAAAACGTATCAAAAGATATCAAGTATGTAGACTTCATGTATTCTAAGGATAGTTTAGGTTTTGCTGATTTTATTCTCCGAATGTGAAATATTTATCGTTGCTACGAGGATGAAAATTCTTAGTTATGTAGAACGAACGTTGGTTTTTATTATTGATACTAAAAATTATGAATCAATAACAGTTCTGGTTGTTTAATTGGAACTGGCCTAAGCTCTCTAATAAAACTTTAGTTCATCCTTTCATAAGTCATTAAAGTTAAGGACTGAAGTAGAGGTTGGAACCGGTTAATTTTTAGCCGGTGTTAACTTCGAAAATGTCTAACAATCAGCACTGTGACATACATAACATATATAGTATTTCGGAGTTTTAGTTAATTTCCTATATTTCTTTATTTTATCAAGTTTATTTTATTACTAGCATTTATATTATTTATATTGTTTATATTATTTATTAATGCGAAAATTCGTAGTTTGTAATTTAGTATATATACATTGAAAATTATTTATAGAAAAAATATAGTCCGATCGTTGCAAGTCTTGGTGATAGAATTACGGACTTTCAGAAAATAAATATTTTTAAAACTTTCAACCCTTGTGTCTTCATATAGACTCCTCTTGTGATAACCAACCTACACAATTGAATCATAAAATAAACGTTATTAGTGATATATTACAGGATAAAGGATTCCGGAATATCGTATCACATTGCATTTATCGTTCATTAACTTGGTTTCAGTACAATCTCAAGTTAACACCGGTTAATTGACCGTTTAAGATGTTATCTTGTTGATCGGTTAAAGATTTTTTTTTTAACCGGTTAAAATATTTAATCTTAACTCTGGCCAAATTTAATTTTCAGGCGGAATTAAAATTTTTTGTGATTACAAAATTTCGCTAGTTTTGCCCAAATTTATAGTGCCGGCCTGAGTTAAATTTAACCGGTTATTAACCGGTTAAGGATTTTATTATTCAACTAATTCAGTAAAATATTAGATGAATAGATTCATTTAAAAATATTTGGGTTATTTACTCATTTAACAGCAAATCATTAAGAAAATAAACTATCGTCGATAAATTGACTGTATAGCAACTCGGGCGAAATCTGTTAATGTTAAAACATAACTCTAAACAAAAGCATTAAAATGTACCAAATTGTTTTCTCAATACTATGGCACAAATCGAAAATTGTTTTAGTATATTATTTATTGTCCATTGTTCGAAGGGTCGGATCACAAATCATGCAATTGATTTTGTGTAACATTTAACATTTTTAACAAATTTTTATTATTGTTTTTATTGGTTATTTAAAAATTTGTTATTTAAAACTTTTAACAAATTTGTATTATTGCTTATTTAATTTATAGACCAGGTGATATGATATAAATGATATGCGGCTTATAATTTAATAATGATGAAGCAATTGACCTTACGAATTCAGATAATTCTAGGAAAACGAAAAGCATTACGAACTGAACTTTTTGAAAAGAATCTTCTTACACCTGAATATAAAATTCAAAAATTCATCGTGAAGTTAGCTTAACTGCTCGTAAGTATTTTTAATAGAGTATATATAATAGGTATATTACTGGATATTATTATTTGTTTTAAAAAAAGTTTAGAGAACAAAAAACATATCTTTGATGTCATTTTGAACGCTATCATCCAAATAAAAATGAAATTATCTAATAAAGCAACGAGTATTCCTGTAGAACGAGTTTTGATGTGGTCTTAAAGCCGAGCCTGTATGTGTTTGAATTCTAGGTGAAAAATCTATATTTTAATTAATGTACTTAAATAATAATAAACTTTCAAATTCAATGCACTTTTTTCATTATCTGGATAAATAAAAAAATTTTAATACTTTCGGCCTTAATAATATTACCCTTAAAAGTTCGAGTCGAACCCGAATTAAACAATAATAGGGTCGGGTCTATTGCTAATCGGGTCGAGTCAAATTCGGGTCAACTAAATATTAAATTTGCTTCAAACACGACCCGACCCGACCTTACGGAGCACTAATTGGCAGGTTGTAATCCAATATAATTTTTCTCCGATAACTGACTCAACTTCTGATACCGATAAGCATACACGATTATACAATCAAATTTGACGTATATTAGTAATTTCATTCATTAACGTGATAGGATATTTTATAGAAAAAATATTGAATATTTCGAGGAATACCTTTGTCAATATTCCAACTTCAAAGAAAATAATTAAATAAAATTTAAGTTACTAATTTTCTCTTTAATAAGCTAAAAAATATGCAAGTTCAAGTTAAAAGACCGGATTTTTTAAATATAAAAGTTGTACAAACTTCCAAAATAAGAATTGCCTTTTTAGAACACAAAAAAAATGTGCAGTAGAAGCCATATAAGGGAAGTTCTTATTCTAAAAAAGGAATGATAGTCAGGGGCTGAAATTAATATTAGTACATTTTTAAAACAATTGTAGAAAAAATCCTTTTATCCTTACAATTAATTAAAATAATCGCAAAATGTTCAATATTGAAAAAGCATTGAAAGATGTGTTAAATGGATTTAAAGATTTAGAACAAAGTAAAAAGAAGTCCGATGATGAAAATAAATTGTTACTCTCCTTTTTATTGAATGAAATAGGTAGTATGGATTTAGATAATTTAAGAGAATTATTGGCAGGACGAAAACTTACTGAGATATTAACTTAACTGAATTAAATGATCGAAAGCATCAAATTATAAAGTTAAGCTCTCAAGGAAATAAATTGCGAGAAGAGGCGGTCAAAACCAATAATATTTTAGAAGAGAAGGTTAAAGAACGAGAAAAAGAGGCTAAATCCTTGCAAGAAAACATTAGTAACTTGGAAGAAAAAGTCAGAAATCTAGAAGTAGAAGTCAATACCAAGCAAGAAACCATTAAAGTTTTGGAAGAAAGGGTTAAACTGCAAGAAATAATTAATAATAATTCAGCTGAAATTAGAGAATTAAAAGAAAATGCTAAATCCAGGCAAGAAACTAATAATATTTTAGAAGAAAGGGTTAATCTGCTAGAAATAGAAGCTATAACCAAGCAAGAAATAATTAATAATTTAGAAGAAAAGGTTAGAAAACAAGGAGTCGTCAAAATCAAGCAAGAAACTATTAATGATTTGAAAGAAAAAATTAGAGAACAAGGAGATAAAATTGTAGAATTAGATATTATTTATGATGATACTACGGAAAATTTAACCATTACGAAGCATAATAAAGATAACATATTAAAGACAAAAGGAGGATTGCAAAGATATCTAAAATTAATAAAACTCATCTGCGAAGATATTCATTTAACTAATTTACCAACTTTGCCTAACTCCTTAACAACTCTCAATTGCCAAAGTACATCAATAACTAGTTTACCAACTTTGCCTAACTCCTTAACAATACTTCGATGCGAAAATACTCAATTGACTAGTTTACCAACTTTACCTAACGCCTTAATAAAAATCTATTGCTATAGTACTAACATAACCAGCTTACCAACATTACCCAACACTTTAACAACCCTCGATTGTCATGATACTAAAATAACTTCCTTACCAACTTTATCCAACTCCTTAAAAGAACTCTATTGCTATAATATTCAATTAATTCGCATACCAAACTTACCTAATTCCCTAAAAATTCTTCGATGTGATTATACTAGAATATATTTCTTACCAACATTACCTAGCTCCTTAATTTATCTTCAATGCGATAATAATAACATAAATAACTTACCAAATTTACCTAACTCCTTAACGGAGCTCTATTGCTTTAGTACTAAATTAACTAGTCTACCAATTTTACCCAACTCTTTAAAAATACTTCATTGTCATTATACTAAAATAACTAGTTTACCTACTTTACCTGATTCCTTAGAACAACTCTTTTGCGACAATAACGTGAGTGAATTGAGTGATAACAATTGTTTCGCTGAAAAAGTATTTGAATAAAGTTTAATATATTAATAGAAATAGCTATTTAGATGTTTAATTTTTATTATTTATAAGTTTTACCGAAGGAGTAAATTAATGGGTCAGAAAATTAAATCATCCGCCCACATTTATTTAGATTTTTTTTTTACTATCACTTGTCTAAAATGTTAATATTTCAATATTATTATTGATTGGAAAGTTCTTAATATATGAACCTTATACATTGTTTTCAAATTATTTATTTAAATCTTTACAAAGGATGCAATCGTTAGAAATGCTCGATTTGTTAATTTTTTAAATAAGATGTCTAGTACTTATTAAAGAATAATTGAGCCAATTGCATAAGTAATTTAAAGAATTCGGTCATAAATTATTTTTAGCATATCCTCTCTTTACCTTTTTGTTTTGCTAACGTAAATTTTTAAATTGTGAATGAGATTTGAATACCTTTTTCAAAATACATTGCTTTTAAAAATATTTTGTAATAATCGTTTGTCGGTACTTGATTCGTACCAGAAACTAGCAGTAAGACGGCACGGTTTGTTTCATATGTAAAGCTTAAATTATGGTCCGGCACCTGATAAAATCATAACGTCGTTGCTCCATAACTAATTAGTCAAAATTAGATTGAAATCGATCGATAACAAATATATATATATATATATATTTCAAAAAGGAATCTTGTAAATTATTCTTCTATCCCCTTTTTAGAAAATGCTTGAGATAAGTTCAACTAAAACAATATATAATACATAAACTGTCCGATATATAGTAATAAAAAAAAAAAAATAAAAATAAAAATGTAGTTTTAATTGTTAAAAATAGGCAGCCATTATCTATAATAGAAAATTTAAAATTATATAGATTAAGATATCTCGGATCCGATCTTGGTTGAATTGTTAGTACTGACGTATTTTGTCACGTTTATAAGCCACGACACATTAGTAATATAATTTATGATAAGAATATTATAATGAGGAACATTATACATTTGTTAGAATTTTTAACGTCGTTTTCGAGTTGCAAAACTCTTTCTGTTAAACGACCTTTGGTCATTCTTGTTCTTGGAATGTTCATCATCTAAAAAAATAAAAAAATATGTAAAGGCAAATATACTCAAAACAAAACGAAGTACCATAAGTATATATTTAATGTAGAATCATGAAATAATGAAGGTTGATTTGATTTTAAAGAACGAACATAATTAAAAGACGTTACTTAGAAAATGTAATGTATATCCTTCTTTTTTTTAAAAAAAAAATGTGCTTAGTTTTCAGTGTATGATGAATAGTAATTTCATATTATTTATTTTTTTTTTATTTTTTGAAAGTCTTTTAAAGTCGGCAGTATTTATATTTCCTTGAAGAATGCATGTGCCACCTCCTTTTTTCGTAAAATGTTTTAATAGTATTTAAGCGATAAATATGAATTAACGACTATGTAGATTACAACAAACGAATTTTAAAGAATAGAAAGAAAATAATTTTATTAAATGAATTGCAAAAAGGTCAAACAATTCGCTTTGTGAAAAGCTTTAAGGGAAAAGAATAGTTCCTATCGAAAATATAAATCAAAACGAACTCCTTTTGCTCCTTCTCATGGCTTTATAACGAATCCTATTAAAATATTAATCGCAGCTGATGCACGGATAGAAAAATTAATTTGATCCTGATGTCAGAAATGGCCGAAATGACATTTTGTTCAGATCTGACAGATAGGCCATAAAGGCTGATTTAGTGCTCCGTAAGGGTCGGGTCGGTTCGGTTTTGAAGCAAACTCGAACTCGAACCCGTTAATATTTACAGGACCCGAATTTGACTCGACCCGATTGTTGTTTGACCTGACCCGATCATTGTTCAACTCGTATTCGACTCTAATTTTAAATTTTAAGGTAATATTCATACCGAAAGTAAAAAAATTTTTTTATTTATGTATATAATGAAAAATGTGTATTAAATT